GAGCGGAGGAAACAGAGCGCTACAGCCAGAGGGAGGCCGGGCATGTGGTGCACTTCAGAGCTTCTGCCAAGGCTGCTCCTCACCGCGGGGCAGTCGGCATGAGCCTCGCCCATAACTAACTAGGCCACCCCTCTTCACGGACGTAAAGGCCATTCTGCTCCAGGTTCACATTCCAGATGTGGCCCAGGGCCTCCCACTCCTTAATTCCTGGGCCTTCACACCAGAGCCTCCACATTCCTGGGACAGAGGCTCTTCAGGGCCTCTGCACAACTCGGGTCGTCTCTCCTACTGGAGCTGGGGACTGGGCTGCCAGCCGCGCAGTGCCAGGGGGGACGCCTCCTTCCTCCTGAGCACACACCTGAGGGGGAGTCAGCATGGAACGGATTCCTTCATGCTTTCGGGCCGTGTCCCATCATGTCCAGAGCCAAGTTACAGAGGATTTATGTCAAGGCGAGTCAACAGCGCCATTCTGGTCTGTCACCAGGCAAGTTGGGGCTGGTGCTGAAGCTTGCACGATCTCCACCCAGCCAGAGGGCAGCGCAGCCCCCGATGGGCCCCAACCCGCCCCTCCAACACGGACTGCTGCTCACGGCTTCAGCTCCGGGGTGGGGTGAAGTTCTAGAAAGGTAAATTCACAGGGGAGAAGATACGGCCAGCCTCAGCAAATGCACTTCTCATCCTACACACCCAATGCCGGGTGGTGAGTGGTCTCAGGGGGTGCAGAACTGGAACCCCAAGCAGGAAAAGCTCACAGTCCAAAGCCAAAGGGTCTTTGTGGGTGAGGAAGAACAACCAGTCTTTGAATACTTCCGCCTCCTGTGGTTTTGGCAGTGAAGAGCTGGAGGTGGGGTGGGGTCGCAGCAGCTCCTTCTCAGTTGCCACTGGTCCACACCACAGCGAGCCCAACAGGAAGGCGCTGGCATGCCCTCACCCAGGAGTCAAAAACGCCTGGGCTGAGACCTTGCTCTGCTGTCATCAAGTCCTTGCACGAATCACTCACCCTCCTGGAATGGATTTCCTCTGCTGTAAGATGGACCGGCGGAGGTTGGGATCAAGAGGCCAACTCAGTGAACTTCAAGCATTTGAACTCTATGATTCTCTTCTGCAAGTGCAACAACCCAATCAGTCTTAGGATGGCCTCAATCAAAGGTGGAACTAGGAATCGGGAATGGCAGCCACTGGCCAGTTCTTTTGGTACCAATATGGCATTCAGGCTTCTGATGGAGCAAATGAAAGCTATTAAAGATACCTTCTAACCCTCAAAAGAATCCAGCTTTTGAAGGGGGGAAACTGGCATTGGTGGCTGGTCACCTGCGTGCCAATGTGGCATTTTCACCTGCTAACCCACCTGAGGCCTCACGAACAACTGTGGGTTGAATTGTGGCCCCAGGAGTGACTGTCCATGTCCAAATCCCTGAGCCCAAGGATGTGGACTTACAAAGAAACCATGCCTTTGTAGATGTAATGAAGTTAAGGATACAGAGATTAGACCATCCTGGGTTTAGGGTGGGCTCTGAATCCAATGACAGGTGTCCTCATAAGAAAAAAACAGAGGAAGATCTGAGATACAGAAGTGAGATGTGTGGGGGTAGAGGCAGAGACAGAAGTGATATATTTCTAAGTCAAGGACTGACAATGGCCACTGGAAGCTGTAACAGAGCCATGAAACCTGGTGACACCTAGATTTTGGACTTCTGGGCTCCAGAAGTATAAGTGAATGTGTATGTATTACTTCAAACAAACATGTTTGGGGTCATTTGTTATAGCAGCTCTAGGAACTAATACAGCCATCACAGGAATGAAGCAAGGATCGTCATTCCCATCCAACTGATGATAAAGGTGAGGCTTAGAAGAGCTAAGCCACTTGTTCCAACTCACCTGGTGCCCAAGTGTGCCCTCGAACAGATGTTCTACTCCTGTCACACCACCAGGCTGCTTTCGTTTCTAACACTCATGAGTCAGGCACAGTGAAAGTGAAGAGTTCATGACTTATCCTAGATGCAGCTTCTTGGTGGCAGGGCTCCCATCAGATCCAGGGCTTCAGCACCCCCCACTGATAAACCACAGCAAAGACTGACCACCTCCCACAGCCAGCTGTTTTTATTATTGCCACAATTACGTGACGTGGAGCTTTGAGCTCGTTTTCCCTTGATGTAAAAGGTTGAAAAGTAATGGTGTCGATTTTAATGAGGATCACGCAGGCTCCTAAAAGGACTCCCACAAATGCAAGCCTCCCCCCCCTCACTACAACGGCTTGCTGTTTAATTCCGGAGCACAACAACGTCACTTAAATTACACGGCCTTTACACTAAAGTGCTTATGGGGGATGCCTTTGCAAGGAAGAATTCCAGTGAAAAGATCTCACCCATTTTGATGCTTCCTCACATCTGAGCCACAAACCCAGGTATCATAGCAACAAGAATAAAACCTCACGAGAATGTGAGCAACAACAGAGCTCCTGACTTCCTGTGAGACAGGGGGAGTCGCTGATAAGCCGTGATCACGCGGCGACACACTAAATTTGGGCCCAAGGGCCACTAGAAGTTTGCGGCTGAAGCCTGAATCGTTCTTGTTTCCCTTGCTGAGATGTTCAGAAGGACTGCCAACCCTGTAAGTCTACACGAGGCTCTTTCGCTGACTCAATTCTTATTTTATTAGTGCTTCTCAAAGCAATTACTAGGGTTCTGAGCAAAGATGAGAGTATTTCACGCCTCCATCTTTACTGAAAATGTCTTATACTTCGCTGACTTTTGGCTTCTATTTATAAAGAAGGTTCAAGGCTTGGAAAATTATTGGAGTTGAGCTTTAATGGATATTCCCAACCAGCATTGTGTCATTATTGGCCTGCGTTTAGCTGGGCGATCTCCCAAATTTGTGACATAATCAGGCCTCTCTCTGCGTTACTCCATACACTCAGGCTCCCTGCACATTACCCACTGAATCACACGCTCTTTTCAGCAAGACCGATTGCCAGGGGATTAACATTAGACAGCACAATTCCATTATTCAGCAGCCCGATTCAAATCCCAACCCTAAACTCTAAGAGAGATTTCAGGGCTTCACAGGGATGAGCTGCCAGAAAGCTCAAAGGGGAGGTGGGCGAGGGGCTTTTGAATGCCTGACATAACAACTCAACGGAAAACCTGCCCTAAGCAAGAGCCTGCTGCTGCAGGGCCCATGACAGGACTCTGTGATTCCTGGAGCGGCCCCAACCAACCTCAATGGACAATCGATGGACCTATGCAAAGCCTGACCCCTGAAGATGGCTGCAGCACCACTGGTTTTTTTCTTCCCTCCAACAATAAATTACTTAATTACAAAATTAGGTATTTAGAACTTTTAACCCAAAATCCAACTTGCTTTCCTTAACTGGAAACACTTCTTGTCAAATGCGGTACACATGCAGCCCAAAGTAAATTCCAAGTCACGTACCCTTTGATGGATGGATTTATATATAGTACATGAATGCCAAAATTCATATTGACCATTTTCTTCTCATATTTGAATATTAGGCCTCTTTCTGTTTTGTAAAATATACGAACATAGTAGTTCTAAGAATCATACCACAAATCTCTACAAGAAAAGGGGACTGTAAGTCATTCTTTATCCATAGGACAGACATTGTACAAAGGTCTATCAAATTCCATATGAAGGCTTCAGAATGACTCAAATGCTCGAATAAATCTTCTTTTCAGGGGATGCTTATGTGCAAATGCAAATAAAGACTTTATCGTGCAGAGTGTCTTGTGAATTTAACTTCTTTTAATTTGACAGAAAGCCAAAATAGTTTTAATTTTCAGTTAACCTAAATCTTCAATTAACCAAATCTACACCATTTAGTTAATCCAGGTTTTTTTTTTTTTTCCAAAGGTTTTTAATGGCTTGGAGGGCAATTCAAATACCTGTGGAATTTCTCTCTGTGAGGAGTTAACACATTTTATTATGAAAGGAGAAGAGATACCTACAGTGAGATAACACTGGGGGCACCTGCACAGGAAGTGACGTGAGAGACCGTGCCCCAGAGCACAGTGGGTGGGCACGTGCTCCCAGAGAGACCAAAGGGTAGGGACCCTCCAAGACAGAGGAGAACCCTCTCGTCATCAACAAAACCCACCCTAACAGGCAAAACTGGGGAAGAAATAGGAGCTTGCGAGACACTGGGCTACACGAGCTTAAGATGTTTGTTAAAATGCCTCTTCCTCCGCGCACTCGGATGGAAAGTACTTACAAACTCATCCATGTGGTTCCCTCTGCCCAGAGAACATGCATTCCAGGAACAGACCCTGACCTGGAGAGGCGGGCAACTCCTGACGCAAGGGGTCGGGCACCTGGACGTCCATCTTCCTGCAGCCAGCGGGGGCTCAGCGCTGGTGATACCTTTTCCTTTCCTCTTCAGCGCACGTGACACCGTGGCCCTTCTTTAGGAAATGTTGCCTCTGTTTTTTGTTTTTTGGGTTTTTTGCAAGTGCGCGGGGGCAGGGGGCATGTACCGTGGATTGAACTCGGGGGCGCTCAACCCCTGAGCCACATCCCCAGGCCTATTTTGTATTTATTTAGACACACGGTCTCACTGAGTTGCCAAGCGCCTCACTTTTGCTGATACTGGCTTTGATCCTCCTGCCTCAGCCTCCTGAGCCGCTGGGATTACAGGTGTGTGCCACCACGCCCAGTGCTGCCTGTTATAAAAGCAAAGTTCTCCTACAGCATATCGGACCCCTTTTCCACTCACATTTTCAGAGTAAATCTCGGGTTCTAGAATGCCAGACGATTCTTACCCTGTCCACCTTACAAAAGGTCAGGTTTGGGAACAACGGAGATATAGCAAAAACCCAGAAAACCAGCAGATGGGGAATCAGAACAGTCAAATAACAGAGTGCAGAAACAATGTGAAAATAATTTCCCCTTAAATATGGGGGAGGGACAAGCGAATCCACTATCATGGCTTCGAATGAGTCCACTAGAACCGGCTGCGAAAGGCCGGCCCACAGCAGCAGACTCACCAACGACGTCGAGGTGGTAGGTGTGGTTGATGGACCCGTACTCGTTCTCCACCACACACGTGTAATTGCCTTTGTCGGACGGGACCACGCTTTCCATAATAAGACTCCAATGCTGGTTTCGTACCTGAAAAGATTCAAGTAAAGGTGGTCATTCAATAATCTTAGCACGGAAAACCAACTGCTCTGCTTTCTTATTGTAAAATGAAGTTGGTTGGGGCTGGGAATATAGCTCAGAGGTAGAAAATGTGCTTGGCATGTGCCAAGGCCCTGGGTTCAACCTCCAGCACCCAAAAAGAAAAAAAGGCAGAACAAGAAGTCCAGGGAGGGCAGAGAAAAATCACCTGGATTCTACACTGTGCTCACAACTGGTCCTCAGGATGGTGACAAATGAAAATAATATCTTCAACATGTGAAGGCCTGTGGGGCAGATACTCAGGCACTCAAACACTCAGATGTGCAGGGGCATTAACTGTTTCCTCCAGGAGAACTTGAGTGGCCACGGGGCCTGAACAGCAACCTACAGTATGGATCTATCAGCTCACTCATCCCTGGGAGCCCCCAGCCCTAGAGCACCAACGAACTATCTAAAGTCAATGCTAGTAAGCACCAACAGTATGCCAGGCACCACCCTGAGCCCTCGGTCCTGACTTAGCTAAGTTCATCCTCTCAGGGAGCCCACGAGGAAAGCGCCATTACCCTTCCTGAACTTTCTGGTTCAAAGCCCCTCATTTCTCTTTTCCTGGCTTTCCCATGCTGTCTAGAAATCTCAAGAAGTTTCAGCTGAGAACACAAGTCTGCCACTTCCATCCCTAGTGGTGGCTGAGTAGATGTCGTGTTCCCGAGATACACCCAGAATTCCAAATATGGGAGCAATGAATCCTTATGGAACTTCAGTTCTATATCCAGTTGTTTGCAAACTTCTTGAGACTTTGCAAAGATAAGCAGCACGTGTAAAAAAATAAATAAATAAACTATGGTGACTCCTACCCAGTCTGTAAATACGCAGACTAGATTCTAATGTTCTCACCCTGCTTTTGAAATATTTTCAATAGACTTAGATTCTTAAACAAAATTGAATTTTCCTTACCAGGAAAAAAAAATGCAAATTTTACTATCTTTAGTGTTCATGGCTTTAACATCTCCGTCCGAATCATTCTTAGTATTTTGGACGAGGCACTCCAGAGAAATGGAAAGAAAAAATAAAAAGTGAGGGACTACTAATCTCAGCTCTCATTTCAGGAATCTCAACTGACCTTCTGAATGACACCCTGGGCATCGCAAGTGTTTTCAGCCTTAATCACATAAAAACCCATAATACAGGCAGAGCCTTCGCAGGCACATGAGAGATTCAAGGAACTAAACCAGAGAATAAAGAAAATCATCCCGTAACTGCTCCAGTTATAAAAGCAGGAGGGCGGAGCAGCTGTCCACTTTGCCAACAGAGGTAAGGGACCACGGGAGCTCACCAGGGCCCACCGAGTTCACGTTAGCAGCGGCACTTCACAGCCTTCCTGCCGTCACTGCCGCCAGGTTCAGACAGACCACTGCTCGGCGCTGCCGGCCCCGTGGAGGATCACCAGGGGACAGGGGACTCTTCTCAAGAGCACAGGCAGCAAGTTCTGGGCAGTCACCCCACTCGGAGGCCCTGACTCTGGAGGTCATCTCACAGTCCCACTGTGAGCTGGTGATGGGAAAGTGATGTTTCGCAAGTAAGATCCCTGACACTGAAGAGCACCTGGGGCACCCGATCCACCGCAGAGAGAGTCCGTCTCCACTCAGGAGATAAGCCGTGCGCTTGGCTGGGCCAATAACTTATCAGAGAACCAAAGCAAGGGGCCAGATCTCCCTGTAGGAGAGAGAAAATTCTCCTGCGCAGGAGGGGTGTTCAGAACCTGGAGGAGTAGATACCAAATGGCCCGGTTCTATGAGAACTCCTGACCCCTGGGTACCACTAGAGCTGTGGGACAGAGGGCCTGAGAGGCAGGTACCAGCTCCCTGGCTTACCAAGAGGCAGGTGGCCCCACAAGGAGATGCTCCTTCACCCAGGGGTACAGATACGGTTCTCTCCTTGCCTCTGAGCCACCAGTCACGTGGAAGGCAAGACAGGGAGGCAGCAGAGACCAGCGTCACCAAGCCACGTAATCCAGCATTTAGCCCTGCTGTAAATATTCAGTTCTTTGAGCCCCCACTCAGATGTCATGCGCATAAGCCCTTAATCACCGCAGTGCCTGCCTCTGGACCCGGTCCAAACTGTCAATGTCTTTCTCGCGCCTGGACCCAGATTTGGCACACGGCATATTCCAAATGGAACTGAACCTGAACTGCATGGGGAGGGGACGTTAAATCTTGGCATATGTAGCTTGGCATGGCAGCTGCCCCAACCCCACCCCCAGGGGCACGTGGTCAGCCAGAGTGTCTTGCTGGGGCTGTGATATTCCACGCGAGATCCCTCTTGAAGGGACTATGCGCCCTCAATACTGACTTCCTGGAGATGTGCTACAAATATTAGCAAGTTAATATTAATAAAATATTTTGACGACGAGAAGAAGCACATTTACCAAACAGGTGTTCCCATCCTCCCAGAACCTCGGTGGTGGGTCAACGCTGCCTTGTGCGGTACTGTTAATATTTACTTTTTACATCACTGATCCAGGGTTTGATTCCTTGACATACCACCAGGCCCAAATATTATGAGCTGTGGCATTTTCTAAATGGATGTCCTTAAAGCTGCCACCGGTGAGACTCTGGCTGGCACTTCTGTAGGGGACATCCTACCACTAATTAGTGGTTGCTTAACAGCAAGCAAAACAACAACAGTAACTTTATAAAAATTGAGACAAAGCATAAAGTTAATCCCTGTGTTTCCATTCCAAGCCTCAGTAAAAACTTACAGTGTCAACCCTCCAAGAAAAACAGACGAGGTGCCCTTCGAGGCGTCTTTTAAATCCTCTCCCCCTCTCAGTGCTACAATTATTTTGTCAGGTCAAATGAACATATGCCGTCTTTGCTTACCCAGAACAGAGACTGTAAAATACCCAATAAACACTGAAAAAAAATGCATAATCTCATTGACAACCAGGGATATGCAAATTAAAACAATAATGAGACACTGTTACTCACCAGCTGATTAACAAAAATTAGAAGGCTCCATGTCACTCAGTACTTGGTGAGTACGGAGCAAAGAAGGACTCAATTGAGAACAGGAACATCAACTGAGAAAACCTTTCTGTAGAAGAATTTGGCGGTAACTGTTAAAATTAGCAACGCATATTATTTTACCTGGTTAATTCCACTTCTAGGAAAGTAGCCCACAGAAATTGCACGTGAACAAAAACTTGCTTCAAGCACTCTAAGGAACAACCCAAAAGTGTAATCTATCAAGAAAAGAGTCGTTAATAATGTATGGGTCATCCTGTAGAAACTAATGTCTAGTTCCAGTCACTGAAAGAATGAGATAGTCTCATGTTCAGCCCTGATAAGATTCCATTATAGAGCAATTGATAAATGACCAAAAAAAGCAGATTGCATAGAAGTAAGTATATTTGCGATTCCCTTTTATTAAAAAAAAAAAAAACCCAAACACACACAGCACAAACCCGCAGTGGCACACAGGCCTAAGCCACAGGCAGGCCTGTGTGAACATAGCAAGCATCAGGGAGAAGACAGCAAGCTGTGAGCCACAGGCTTTAATTAAATGGTCAGAGTATGCATGTTGTTTACTTTTTCCTCATTTTCACTTTTGAAACTTAAACAGAGATCACGCACACAACAAAGAGTAAAATAGGAAAGCCCCTCGGCCAGCTACGTGGTGCTGGATCCTGCACAGCGGAGCCCCTGTGCCTAGGGCTCTCTAGCTGACACACACAAAGGCCAGGAGGAAAGAAACCCTGCGCCAACCGACACACACACGATTCTTTATTTTCATTCCTGCCCATGGCCAGATCTTTGTGGAATTCATCATTATTTTCCATCTGCCAAGTAACAGAACTAGAGAGCACGGGGCTTCAAAACTATGTTCACTGCAGTCTTTTTAAAATAACATTTCAATATTGAAACAAAGCAGATTGGAGCGGAGGGCCTGAACTCTCTTACTCCAGTACAAAAAGCGGATTCCGCCAACATTCCACACCCTGTCCATGCAGAGACAAAAGGTGGCCCAGACAGGTTTTCTTGGAATGCTTCTGTTACCCAAATCTCCCAAGGTGCCTGTTAAATCCTCAGCTACTTTCGGGTGACAACTGGGAATGCAGATGTAGATTGTGTAGCAACCCAAATGTTAAGGCCAAAGGTCAAAGGCCCAAAGTGTCACCTGGATGTTTGGCTTCCACATTGCAAAATAAAAAGTCAACATTTCCAAATACCCAGGTGTTCGATAGCGAGTGGAACGAACATCCCGAAGCTGTTCTCTGTGCCGGGTCCAACACTGTCCATGTGACAGTCCATACTCCTGTGACTTCCCGCCACTCAGAGCAGGGCCCATTCATCCAGGAAGACAGCCATCCTTGGTGGCCCTGGCCTGTGGAAAGCCACCCCAGGAACTACAGTTCCACACAGGCCAGCTGTCATTAAGATGCATAAAAAATCCCACCATCCCACCCAAGTCCCATTCCCAGCAGGCTTCCGGCTCCAAAACACCCCTTGCAAATGGGTCTGTACCAGCTGGACTCCCGTGTCGAGGACTGTGGCCCTCAGAGCAGCTGGTCATGCAGAAGTGAAGGCAAACACCTGTTAATGCTCAAACTCCACATCCACAGAGTTTGCTTTTCAGGAGGTGTCCAGACCACAGAGCCCGGCCACCTGATTCCCTGGGACCAGCAGCAGAAACCTTCCCTCCCCTTGGTACACAACTGCCGGGTCTCTCCAGAGGAGGTGGCAAGTGACCTGCAAAACACAAGGCTGCTCTCTTAGATGTCTGCTGCCTGCGGTGTTCTCAAGGTCGGTGACAGCAGGGCATCCATCACCTTTTGAACTTAACTCTAAAAATTGCATGACCTTCCTCAAAAAGCTAAGCGGGGAACTACAATATGATCTAACCATTCCACTCCTGGGTATACACCCAAGGGAACTGAAAGTGAGGACTCAAAACAGATTCTTCACCAAATATAGCACTACTCATGACGGCCA